ACTTGTACATACCTGTAATTACTTGTATATACCTGTAATTACTTGTACTTGTCTGTGATAACTTGTACATACCTGTAATTACTTGCACATATCTGTAATTACTTGTATATACCTGTAATTACTTGTACTTGCCTGTAGTTACTCGCGCTTACCTGTAATTACTTTTACTTGCCTGTAGTTACTTGCGCTTACCTGTAATTAATTGTACTTACCTGTAATTACTTGAACATACCTGTAATTACTTGTGCTTGTCTGTGATAACTTGTACTTACCTGTAATTAATTGTGCTTACCTGTAATTACTTGTACATACCTGTAATTACTTGTGCATACCTGTAATTACTTGTACTTACCTGTAATTACTAGTACATACCTGTAATTACTTGTACTTACCTGTAATTACTCGTACTTACGTACAATTACCTGTGGGGTGACGGTACATTGTTGGCAATGTGTCGCTGCTTGCATTTATCGGCATCTTAGTTGCTCCTGGTTTTACTCGATCTGTCGGTTCCAGAAGATTTATCACGGACGTGTGGTTGTTATTTTTAGATCTGTTATGGAATAATCTATGGAATAGGCCCAAAGACACTGGGAGACCAGCTTAATGTGGATGAGAAATGTGCTGCAACCCTAATAAATACATTCAAAAGCAAGTATGAAGGTATGAACAATGCGTTTGTGATTACAATTGCTTATTTTTTGTAGCACGTACTATAATAGTCTTGAAGTAATAGTATTGTATCTGGCAGATTCAATTGCAACATGTAATATGTAAGCTCATGGACTTGCCGTCACATCATCTCAGTTTCAGTGCACAGTATACCTCTCTACGACTGTCTCTCGCATGGCTGTATCGCTCTGTTCCATTGTTGTTTGGCTAGGATTGAGAGCTTACCTGCAGGCAACCGTAGACAGGTGCAGACGTGATGGCTACGTGAGCACCATGCTAGGGAGGAAACGCTACTTACCCAACATTAAGAGCAATAATCCTATCGTGCATAATCAAGCAGAGAGGCAAGCTGTCAACACCACAGTGCAGGTAATAGACATGAGTGTATGCATATGGTGGTGGTTGTGAAGACTACGACACATCTAAATTATTAATTTATCGCTAACGCAAGGTCTCAATGGCATCGAGTGATAAGCTTGTCAAACCCACATGGGACATGGGGTAGTGTTGTGTGTGTATATGTGTAGTCTTTGTATGTGTCCTACTGAGTCATTATAGTATTTTATCTGTTGTTATATTGTATTGTTGTATTATAGTATGTGTTGTTATATGATATTACATGTTGTTATACTATAGTATGTGTTATACTATACTGCATGTTGCTATACTATATTACACATAGTACTTTATGATATCACATGTTGCTATATTACATTACATGTTACTATATTATATTACATGTTACTATATTACATCACGTATTAATATATTATATTACGTTACTATATTACATCACGCGTTGCAATATACAGGGAACAGCAGCCGATCTCGTGAAGCTGGCGATGGCGGCGGTCGACCGGCGCCTCACCGAGGAGTTTCCATCGTCGACGCCGCACCGTATGTCGCGCGAGCCGTCGTCTCCCCCGCGGCGACGGTGGCGCCCTCCTCTTCCGCGCGGCGCGTACCTGTTGCTGCAGCTTCACGACGAGCTGATATACGAGGTTAACGAGGACGACCTCGTCCAGGTGTGTCAGATAGTGAAGCAGTGCATGGAGGGCACCACGACCCTCTCCGTCTGTTTGCCTGTCAACGTCAAGGTGGGCCACACGTGGGGCAGCATGCAGTCATTCTCACTGTGAGATATCCTTGGCTGTGTATCAGCTAGATTTACTTCAGTGTAGCCTTTCACTCGCTACGCACAAAGTTTATATGGTAGGATATCCTTGGCCATGCATCAGTTAGCGCTACCTACGTGTAGCCCTTTACTCGCTACACACAAAGTTTATACCGTGAGATATCCTCGGCTTTGTATCAGCTAGCGCTACCTACATGTAGAATTATAGTAATGAAAAGGATACACGCAGCCAATTAGGATAGACTAGCGACATTGTGTTCATCAATCATTCATCGATAAGCGATGAGATCAGGTGAATAAACTTGACTTGACAATTAGGTTACGCTACCAACATTGTGTTTATCAAAATGCTATTATTGATTTGATCTGGGGATTAAACTTGATTTTTGTTTTACGGATGTAGAACTTTGAGATAACCGTAGACAGCATGATTGGTCAGAACAGCCCGGCGTCGACAGACAAGAGGCGTGGGACCGGAAATGTTGCACTGCCCCGCGGAAATAGCCGTAGAAACGACAAGCGAGAGACACATGCCGTCAGCATACGTGATTCCTTCATTCCCTTCAAAGGTAAATCAACACGAGCGACATTCAAGAAACGAGACGATAATTTATCGAGCTTCTTACGTCGACGTTTTCGTCGGCAAATGCAATAGCTGGTCGCAGCTAGAAAACAACCAAAGTATGTATCCTGAAGTCCACTTCTACCTGTAAGTTCATGGCTACGTCCTGCACATTGATACAGTAAAACATGTGTTAGCAGTCACCTGTATAGAGTGTCCACCTATATAAAGGACACTCATGTCGTTTCTCTTGAGTGGCAGTTATACGGAGAAACCACCTCTATAGAACGGACGCCTGTCTATAGAACGGACGCCTGTCTATAGAGGAGGCTGTTTCTCTGCTAGAAATCTGGTTTCTGCGATTCCCTCGAGTGACCCTTATACACAGGTTTGACTCGTCTCTCTCGCAGGAGGCATCCTTATCTCAGCCGACTACTCACAGTTAGAGCTGCGAGTGATAGCCCACTTGTCCAGCGACAACAAGCTGACTCACATACTCAACAATGGAGGCGACGTATTCAAGCTGATAGCGAGTGAGTGGAAGATGATCTCCGTAGACAGCGTCACCAGCGCCGACAGGCAGCAGGCCAAGCAGGTAGGTGCCCCGTACCTACGTATTACTTATCTATACTTACCTGTAATTGATTGTACTTACCTGTAATTACTTGTACTTACTTGTACTTGCTTGTACTTACCTGTAATTACTTGTACTTGCTTGTACTTACCTGTAATTACTTGTACTTACCTGTAATTACTTGTACATACCTGTAATTACTTGTACTTGCCTGTAGTTACTTGCGCTTACCTGTAATTACTTGTACTTGTCTGTGATAACTTGTACATACCTGTAATTACTTGCACATACCTGTAATTACTTGTACATACCTGTAATTACTTGTACATACCTGTAGTTACTTGTATATACCTGTAATTACTTGTACTTGTCTGTGATAACTTGTACATACCTGTAATTACTTGTACATACCTGTAGTTACTTGTATATACTTATAATTACTTGTACTTGTCTGTGATAACTTG